TAGTTTATAACGTAGTTAGGGCACCTCACGTACTCACCTGTCCTCCCGTGGTGAATAGAGTTCACAGGTTTTTAGGTATTCTTCTTCGTAATTCCTGGTCCATCCTCCAAAGACGCATATAACGCGTTCTCGGCCCACTTGAACACTGACTGCTGAATGGTTAAACCGCTCCCTGTAGAGTGGTGCCAGTTCGACCCATCGACGTTTTTTTGTATCAAATTTGTCAACTGTTGAAAAACTGGCGTCTTCCGCACGTCCACCAATTGCAAATATGCAATCTAGCTTGGTATAAATGAAACAGAATAGGGAAATATGAGAACAGAAAACGAAACGTACTGATAAAATGATTTCGACAGACGAGACAGGGAAGATTTCGCGGACAGATAGCAGAATTTTTGTTATTTTTAGGACATAAGACAGAGAATCCAGAATGCCCATTTCTGCATCATTAGGCGTCGTCAGCTGGATATACTCTACTCAAGTGTAGCAGCGGAAATTGCCACTTCTCGAGTTTTGAACCTGCGCCTATCCGGTTAGAGGCGAACGCTCTAACCATCGAGCCATCTGGCTCGGCGTCTTGACGGTCATTTATCGCGACTATACATTAGTAACTTAGTAAGTAACATTACAATTAGCCATGTGGCAAGATTCGGGGGATCCCGAAAACACTGGACATCACAAACCAGGGCGGGTGTGCCCTGTATCTGATCGGTGTACGCCTATCTACAAAAGACAGCAGAATGTTGTTATATACGAACTCATGGAACGAATATTTTGTGGTGGGATCACAAGCAAACTATTTTTTTGTATAAATCATGTTTTGTGCTGCATTTACGCCTTCACAGATCACAACAATTCAGTCTTCCGATTCCCACGTCACTAATAAGGAGGAACACAGCTCTTCCTGGGGCTTCCTGGTGAAAGAAGTGGGCGATAAACTAGCCGCGTGATGCAATCCAGTTAATTCGGAAGCATACAATAAAACAATTGAGAACTGTTGTAATTCACATACATAAGCACGCTTCGCAAGCATCTTTTGTGTTAGATATTGTCACTGTCTGTGGGTTTTTTGAAGAAATTATTGCCTAAACACAACACTGATCACGGATAGCAAACTTGAACGCGTTTCTCAAAGAAGGGATAAGTGACAATGAGCACGGTAAGTTGACAACGCCGCGATCGAAGTGTTGCAGTTGAGATCTAAGTCATTCCCTCGACACGGTCATATTACCACTTTGATAATTACCTACAGCATAAAATTCACCTGATTGCCGAAATAAAGTCAAAACAATTCAATTGGTTGTTAGAAAATAGACATCGTCAAATCTCACCCTCAATGCCCACAAAGGACGCCCAGTCTCGACATCCCAATTCTGTCAATTGTTCCGCATTGCGTGTCTCGACATCGTATCGGATCAGCACCGCATCAGCATAGGTGCTCGGTGAACCGACGAAAAAGATTTCCTCCAATGGACCTCTGTAATTCTCAGCATATGGACATTTTCTGCCCACTCTCGAAGCTGGACGTTCCAACCAATCAGATATACAACCTAGAAGTCGTCTGACATATCACCAAGTCAGGAGTTTTCCAGCAACTTACAAACATTTCACATCTGTATTCCAAAAGCCCTCATTCTTAAGTAGTTCGTGTCTGAATTCGGGCTTTACTCGATTCCACCGTACTTCTTTCATCATTTCTGCTGCGTGGACCACTCGAGTATCATCAACCTTGCCGCCTGGACCGACCCACAGTTGAATCGCCTTGAACACACTTTGTTCACTCTCCACTAGAAGATCATCTGCCCGCAGCAGGGAGAGGACAGTGTCCAACGGCAGTTGACTGAAGAAATCACTCACAATCGTGCACTCAAAGTTCTTCTTCATGTGTTGCAGACAAGTCTTCATTAGTTGATCGCTTTTCATTTGTCGTGCAAAATTCCACCTATTTGCCAGATTTTCGGAATTTAACCTGGAATGCAATGACAACGCTAAAACGCCTACCTGGCGGCCATGAAACTCAGCACCCACTCTTCAACCTGGGGCAGTACAAGTTGTCTCGACAGCTTCACCAGATCAGCAACATGGGCTT